GGGTAGGATCAGTGCGGGGTGGATGCAGAATGAGATATGTAAACAGAGTAGCTTCATCGTGGCAAAACTACTACCACTAGCGCCGAGAGTGGCATTTGAGATGCGCGTGAACACAAGGCCCAGGGCGGGATAGCATATATCTCTAAAAACCTTGAGCGTGGTGGTAATTCTTCACGAGTATAGTGCTAATGGCGGTTGAAGTGCGGAGTTTGATAGAAAGGTGTGATAGCAGGCGAGCATAAAACTGAGGTATGAACTATGAACAACAAAAGTGAAATGCATGGAACATTTTTATGGCGAATGGGGTAGGGTTTCACGATGGCTGAGGCTCGGGTGGTTGGGATGGGCGGATATCGGAGGCGGTATTTGTGTTTATGAGCTGCAGCAATTGGTTGGAATGATTCGTGAGGCTCACCTCAAGAGTGGAAGATATGGGTAGGGTTGTGACGTGGAACATCCAGAATTTTCTTCTAGCCATGTACACAGTTTGGAATGGCTCTGATTGGTTTGTGGGTTGCACTTCTTGGTCTGACGTGTAGCTTTGATTGGTTTGCATACGTCACTATTGAGTCCGACGCGTAGCTTCCAGGTGTACTTGATGGAATCAACTAGATTCTGTTTTTACGACATTCACAAAATCTGTTGCCCCGTCTATTTGTTTTCGCTAGTGGCCGGGTTGCTTCGCATGCCTCGTGGTCACTACCTAACCAGAGTCTAAACCGTGTTCGAGCTATACGTTATAACCACAAAACTGGCCGCAATTGGTACAGCTGTCGTTTAATGAGTCACCAATGTTGTGTATCGGAGTCCGAATGTGTTGGATTCGAACCGCGGAGTCGGAAATATGGTCGCATCGCGCATTTCGCGCCACAATTCTGTGCATGTGTCGCTAGATGTGACTCTGATGTGACTTTTATGTATACCGAAAGGAGTCACGGAATTGTTACGGAGTGTGCTGTTAGGTTTCCGGAGCTCGTTGGGACTTTTTGTATGCTTTTCGGAGGAAAAACCTACCGAGGCCCAAAATTTAGACCCAACCAATTTCGCGATGCAGCATCTCCAACACGCCCACTGCCATCATGATTCACCAACCATGATGTCATGCCATGTCATGCCATGCCATGCCATGCATGCCTCAATACCATGCCAAGCCATGCCATGCCACCATGCCTCCATACCGCGCCAAGCCCATGCCATTCCGAAAAGGTCATGCCATGAGTCATGGAAATGTGTGTGCTGTTAGGTTTTCGGAGCTCCTTTGGGACTTTCCGTCACGGAAAAAAAACCTAACGAAGGCCAAATTTGAGACCCATCCAATTTCGCGATGTACCATGCAACAGACACGCGTTACACCCAACAGTCTTGCCAGAAACGCTACTTATTACTAGGCTCGTTTCCGACCATATACACAGACCAGGCACGGCCTGTATGTAGGAAAATCTACAGTGCATATCGTACAGGCACGGCCGCGGCTTACTGTCACTCAACAAAATTCACAAGCGGAGACGTGGGGGTGTCTCGGCGGTCGCTTCCGGCGGTGGCTTCGACAGCAGGGGGACGCGCACGTGGGGCTAGCTGTGTCACGGGGGGCTTGTCGGGAGGATGACACTTCGTTCTCGGCTTACCTTTTGGGGTCTCTGAAGGCGCTCATCGGAGTGGCGTTACAACGGGCGCAAGCTCGTGTCATCCTGCTTCGGGCGGCGTCTTCCATGGGGGGGTTGAATGTGGACTTGGTGGATCGGGAGAGGGACGATGTCGAGGTGGAGGGCGGGCCTCTTTGGGTGGAGGCCCCCTACATGGTGGATGTGCAGATGTGACTTGGGGGGGAGGGGGGGGGGGGGGGGAGGGGGAATGGGGTGCGAGATGGGACGTCTGGTAGGGGATCCTGGTTGGGTTTTTTCTTTATGGAGTATTTTTATGGGGCTTTTTATGGGTGTTGCGTTTGAGTTGTTTCTGGTGTCTTTCTTTCCCTTTTCCTTCTCCCTCTTTCCCTTTTCCTCTTTCAAAAGCGTGAAGCCAGTTTCTGGGACTTAATACTGATATCGTATGTGAAGTACATGAAAAAAAATTCACAAGCCCACATCCAATGCCCAAATATGAGTTTTCCCCATCTATGCGCCCCGACCATTGCACGAGCAATGAGTAAGGACACTTAAAGCAGTGTTCACACGAGTAGCCATTGCTGAAGCATTCGAGAAGCATTCGCCCAAACAGCACAACAATGTCTCCCCCTTCCCATTGTCTCTGCAGGTCTTCCCGCAGTTCGCAGCCCAACAGCCCCGCACGTGCCAAATTGGGGTTGGAGTTCAATTTCACTACGATTCAGTTCGATCTACAGTGGCGACGTTTCCAGGTGCTGGGTCAACAACCAATCTGCCTGCCGCCAATATTGAATCCGCATTGCCAAAAACCAAGTCGTTATAACAATCACTTCTATAGCGAAACGATCATCAGATAAGGCATGACTGACGTGTCAAAATTTCTGTGACTGTCCCACATTCAGATGTGACAGCGCGGATGGGGTGTGGGGTGGTTTGGCGAACAGAAGCCAACAGTGCTTCTGGTTTCCAAAATTCGCCATGATTCGTAAGGCTCTCCCCGAACCACCTGGTTCAAGTGTTCGCAGAACTCGCCAACATTTCGCCAACTTCGGAGCACGAAATAACACGCAACATCGCTGGCCCTTGGTGTTCGAGGCACTTATCTCTCCCACTCTCAAAATGCACCCCGCAGCTCAACACAACCTCATTTTCAGCCAAGATTTCCATGCGTCGTTTTCATTATTCACTGACCTTGCGCGGTGCTCAGGCTCGTCATCTATTCGTGCCTCAGTTACGTGTTCCTAATTTTAGTTTCTTCTTCCTCTTACCACCTCCCTCTACCAGGATATCAAGGGACTGCTCTGGCGGACGGTTTCTGCTGTGAATTTTGCCCACGAACAAGCTTCCATCTCACGCCCTACGTTCGCTGGTCATTCATGTGCGGATCAGGTGTGCACATCTCGATTTTTTTTTTTTTTTTCCCGTATGGAATGGCTACTACGACTTTGTGATGTTTTGATTTTGCAGAATACAGCGCACCTGACATCGTCTTTTCCAGTGAATCCCAAGATTACTATCAACTGTGAGATTATTATGACGATAACGTTGATTTCTTCCAGAAGATTCTTCGTCGTATGTCTTTAATTTATTTCCAGAAGATTGTCATGGCTCATGGCGAAGGCTCGTGGTGAGTACCGGTAAGTTCTGGTTCGTGCTGACCTAGCCCTGCGTCGGTAGGTTCATGTTTGTGTTGTCCCAACTCTGCGTGTGTGTTGGTGCCGAGTGCAGAAACCTTGTTCCGCCCACAGAAGGCTGTTGGCATGCTATGTATGTCTGCTGGTTAGTGGTTGTGTTCGTTGGTTTTTAACTAGGATGTGTGGTTCTTTTGAATTGCTTATTTGTAAGGCAGTCTAGGCATTCTGAGAAATGTCTCATTCACGAGCAATACATACATTAAATTTGAGAAGTAAATGGTCGATATATTTTCCAGCAAATCATGGATCCAGAAGAGCTACATTTTCTGCTGTAATAGTGTTTTACATTCGAGCGTTAATACACCATACGAGGTAGGACGCGTTGTGCGCTAAACGGGCCTGTAATCCAATTGGCCCGAAGATCGTGCTTTAATTTTGACTGTTAACGAGTACAAGCAAACCTCCAGGTTTGTAACAACACTCATTGCCGAACCTGCGATAGGAATCCTTGGGGAGTCTTGACGAGGATTCACAAAACAATCCTCCCAAAAAAAGGATTCCTCCTGATAGACCACAAACAATGGTACCCCGTAAGTACTTTTAGCATTCCTTGGGCATTCCAGGAGCAATGTTTTTGCGATTTGAATTTTGTTGAGCAGGATCCAGCACGGGTGCAGCTTCTGCGGGCGGCATCATGCAGCAGCGCGCCACGACCAGCGCAATCACCGCTGCTCTCGCCAAGCCGCCCCACGTCCTCAACGGCGGCCATCCCAGGACTGCACTTCCACTGCTACTGCTTCTATTTCGGTTACCCATCGAGTGCCCACTATCTCGAGTATGGTTGCCAGGCGCGTTGGGTTCGTCGGGGAGTTGAGATCTTGCAGGAACAAGGGTTGCGCAAAACTGGAACCCGGAAGCGTGGTCTTTGAGTAGGTTCGGGCAAATGGTGTTGATTTTCGTTTCCCGAGTCTTCACGGGTTTTACTGGAAGCACTTCACCGAAACACCTCATCATAACAAATCCTTACAACCCGTCAAACCGCGCGGTACCGTACTGATTGCGTGTTGTGCTCCAAAATCTGCCAGCGGATACTCCTGACATCAACGAAGGATGAACTGTACATCCGATGAATGTTGGAAAATCCAACGGGCCACACAACCAGCCTATGCCAACACAACACAGATTGTGTACCATACCCACCCCTAATTGACCCGCCTCGGTGGACCGACATTCGCGGGCAACGTGCGTCACCAAAACAAGGCATTGCACGCTGGCAACGAGAAGTTCGACCACGTGAGACCGCGAAGGACCAGCTTTGACATTGGAGTCCAACACGAGTTACCATAAGATATTTAGTATACACCGTTTTGTAACTCGTACATATTAGGATAGTGAAACGCGTTGTAAGCCTGTTGCTTCTTGTAGGTTTCCGACATACAGAGAAAAATAATATTTTCCTTATGATTTTGTTGCTTCACTTTGTTTCAAGAGACTCAGTGAGGCCCTTTTTGATTTGTGCTACAAATAAAATTTTCACTCAAGTTTTTTAAGAATGGTGATTGCAAAGCCAACGCTGCTAGGCAGAGCAACATTCGAGGGCAAGCGACACTCCTCGACCAGTAGCAGCACCACCACCAACGGCGACGGCGACGACGACGACGACGACGAAGGCGGCGGCGGCGACGACAACAACAATAATAACAATATACAAATAAACATTGTACAATGTACATGTATGAAGACTTCATATATTTCACATCTTTGCTTAATACCCAGCTGAGCCGCATATGCCCACACGAGCACTCGAAACATCCGGAGTACAGATAGTTGTCCCAACAGGCATCTTCTCCAAACACTCAAACCCATTCATCTTCCTGTAGCACCCCTTGATGCTAGAAAAGCCCAGCACATCAATCTTGTCACAGGTGTCTCCGGCTAAAATGTTGTAGGTGCCCCCTGGGCATGTGCCAATTCTGAACTTGACACTGCTGTGAATGCACACCTGCAGAAAAGGATCCAAGGGGCAGAGGCTTAGAAGGATGGAAAAATAACAGCGCTTGCAATCTGAAGCTCCATCACGTGCAACTAGGGACATAAATGGCCCACCTTGCGCTGTGAGAAGCCCTCGAACGTAGCAGTCGGCAGGTGGTTGTTGCAGTTGATGCCTGGGTTGAGGCGATAGAACTCTAGAGGGCTCAAAGGCGGATTCACGACCATTCTTGCAGCATCGCAGCCATCATCACCTCTCCCCATTTCATACTGCTGATCACACACCGCCACCATCCCCGCCTTGCTCTCCTCCCGCTCCACACACACAGCCTGCCTGCCCGTGAGTGCTGCACAGTCCAGCCCGGGGTTGAGCCCCACCAACGCCTCCTCACATGCCTCGCCCTCCACGGGGCATCCCTCGCTCAAACCGAACAGCGCAGCAATCGATCCACAGCTGTCGCCCTGTATGCACATCCAGTTACCAGTTTTAATTCAATCAAGTTACAAGATGTTACATTAAAAAAAAAAAAGGAATGCACTTTGTGTCACAGGCTAAGACGACACACTTGCACTCCAATGCAATGACGTAGGGACAGAATGAAATCCTCAATGCACTGCTGGCTTGGTGCACTCACAAGGTGGGTGGTGTAGATGAGCGAGCAGCTGGGAAGAGGTTGATTCGGCATGACGGTCAGCTTGAAACCCACTGGGATGGGCTTGGAGCAGGAGAGCTTCTGCAGGCATGGAGGAAGAAAGGCAGCAAGGGATAGATGTGACTTGTTGTGTCTGTTCGGATGGTGAACCTGAGCTGAGTGATAGATAAACATACGAGCAACCAACCTTGTTCTGCAGCTTAATTTCGTCCAGGGTGAGGTCAAGCACGGGCACTAAATGAGAGCACCACACGTTGCTGCCACGCACCGTGTAGCTGCCCTTGCTGTCACCTGCTAATCTCGGCACAGCACGCACATCAGCAAAGAACCATTCAATATGTAAATCTTTGGAACGATATACCTAGTAATGAAAATGACAATCAAAATTAAGAAAACAAAGAAACAAACAAACAAAAAAATCTTGGGAGGTCTCTAAAGTATCTCATACGAAAATTTCCTAGACAAATCCAAACCCTGTTTTTTGTAACACTATCTGCTAGCAAAATTCGAGTGTGGTTCTTCTGTACTTTCATAATCATGTAAAACTGTACCATGATAGTGAATTTTTCCCAACAAGACCTTCATCAAAGGTAGGATAGTGAATGCTAGATGTAGCAGACAACGGAAGGCGATGGATGGTACCTGGAGCACAAGAGAGGGTTCCCTTGGCGGTGGTGCCTTGAACGAACCCCGGGGGACACACACAGGAGTAGCTGCCCTTGCCATCATTCACGCATGAGCCCACCACACACGGGTTGCTGCCAGCCAGCCCACAGGCGTCCACTGGAAGTGCAGGTAGGGCAAAGAGGAGGAGGTGCTGAAGTGCGTTATGAATGAGAAAGGGGGTGTGAGTCTGCAGGCTCACCATAGGCGCAGGTGCGTGGAGTCGACTCAAAAGCAATCTCACCATAGGCGCAGGTGTTGGAACCGTCGGAGTGGGCGGTTTGGACGAAGTGGGGAGCAGCACAGGCACAGCGGTTGGATGCTCCGGCCTTGGAGCACTTGAACTGCCCACACGGGTTGAACGCGTTGCTCCCTGCCACTCCTGGTGAGCCCGCCAGCATCACTGACTTGCTCCCACACGGGTCAGCAGTAGCTGCCATGCATGCACCACGCACCGCAGACAGATGATGGAAGCTACGTAGCTAGAGCAGGAGCATGCATGGAACATATAGTGCACCAGACTGTGTTGTGACATAAGTTCAAAACAGCATAAGTTCAAAACAGCATAGTTTCAAAACTGCTAGCTCCAAAATAGCTCCAAAACTGTTAAAACGTCCCCCAACCATGTCTCTGCAGTCAGGTACATACATCGGAGGATGGGGAAGAGGCCAGGCAGTGTGTTGATGCCACACACGCCCGGCCCGCTCTGCATGTCCATGAACATGTGCCCTGCAGCCCCCCACTCGCTGCCCCATGAGTTGCGGATCACCCAGAGGGGTGCAGGCATTCGAAAAGGGCTGGCACTGCTGGTCTGCACGGCGTAGCCCACCACCAAGACGGCGTGGTTGACTCCCTTCTGAAAGCAACTGGCATCTCCATACTTGGATTTCTGGTAAGAGGGTGGCACAAATAGGAGTGGAGGGAAGCTGGTAAGTTATTCGAACTACGTTCTGCTGATTGGTGACAGAAAATGGGGAGATGTTTGGGAAATCTGCAATAACAGCAAAATTGTGTCAGAGCTTTGTTAAACTGATTGGATTTGGTTTCAAGTCAAACCCAGAATAGAGCTCTCCCAGAAGGTGTTTTGAGCAAGAGAAACTGTGGAGCAAGAGAACCATACAGGTTCAAAAATCAAAGCAATTCTTGCTTATTCAAAGCATCCATGAATCACACCCAACAGAGATCTACGGCATCTCACCCCGTCGTAATCGATGAACGATGGAGCAGACGCCTCTATTCGCACAACCACTGGCTGCCGCTGCACTGCCAGCAGCAGACCCAGCCAGCCTCCAAACGAGGTCTCCTCAAAACCCTGAATCCCGTAGTTCTTGGGCTTCTGCGAGACAGGCGGGGAGAGCAGGCGGGGGGTCAGGTGTGAGTGGTTAGAACTAGGGGAGAGCAGTCTAGTAGGTTTTGAAAGGGCTCTGTAGGTGAGTGCAGTGTAGTAAGCACAACACACACACACACACACACACACAACGCCTTGAAGCACACCCCTCTTCCTCATTCTAGCACGTTTGCTGGGGTGGGTGGAAGGGGGAGAGGGAGAGGAGGAGGAGGGGGTGAAAAGGGGGATGGGCACGATAGGGGGGAACCACTTCCTCCGATGATGTGAAGCTTGAACCAGAGAATGATTGTGGTGGAAGATAAGCGGGAGTTTGCCTTCCTGAGGTGGAGAGGCAAGGGTCTTGAGAGGGAGAGCAACAGGGGGAGCCGAGCAATGGTCCAGGAAGGGGACGTACGACCAGCAGAACCAGTGGCAATGGATTCATTCGTGACACAGGTGCCGGCGTGTCTACAAAGTGCCAGGGAGCAAGGATGCAGACGACAAAGGGTGAATGCTGAATAGCATGTCAAATTTGTCAATCAGTCGAGTCGAGTAGACCTCTAACAGCCTCCTCGAATGGCCGGGCCTGACCAGCTCATCCCGTGTTAGGGGTGCACACCAAGGTTCGCATGAAGCACTGCAGAAAGTGTGGGTCACCAACTTCTGTGGAACTTTGTTCATCTTAGCGTGAGCCTATGTCTATTTATGCAATACGATGAGGCTCGGCTCCCTATCATTTTACCCAGCATAGTATGAAACCTCATATGCTCTCCCTCTGTACTCTCCTTCCTGTTCACCTAGTTCTCCTGCAACCATTTATCACCACTCGCTGTGACTCACCGCCCCCACTCGGTGTGAATCACCGCTTCCACTCGCTGTGACTCGCCACCCCCACTCGCTGTGACTCACCACCCCCACTCGCTGTGACTCACCACCCCCACTCGCTGTGACTCACCACTCCCACCACGCTGTGACTCACCACCCCCACGCACTGCGACTCACCGCGGCCAGTCGCTCGCGCCGGCCGGCGGACGCCATGCTGTGGGGACTGGCGGCCGCTGCTGCTGCTGCTGCGTCATCCACGAGCCCCCCTCCCTTGCGCGTGGCAGCCACCAGGAAGGCCAGCACATCGCGCGGAGGCATGTCGTCACAGTTGGACGACAGGGCCACCCGCAGCTGCTCCACCGACAGCCGGGGGGGCTGAAACAAGCTTTCCATGATGCTGTAGGCTGCCTCCACTGCTGCTACCACTGCGTTTGCTGAGGAGTCAGCTGGAGTCCGGTGGGCAAAGATGGGGGAAATCGGGAGGGAGGGTGGATTGAGGGGGGAGAGGGAGGCGAAGAGTTAGCTGCACAGGGATGGAAAAAATTACACACCCATTTCGTACCTACCCATGCCACACCCAACCTATGCTACACCCCACGTATGTCATCCCCTTCCCATGCCACACGCCTCCCATGCCACACCCTTTTCATCCCACACCCAAACATTGCCACACCTCGTTCATGCCATGCCATGCCATGCCGTACCGCATCCATGCTGGTTCTTGACAGGCCATGTTGCCGTGGGTCGCATCCAGGTGACAAAAGCCGGAAGCTTCCACATAGGCAGACCGTCCGCAGTGGGGAGGAAGGAGAGACTAGCAAAGTGGAATGGCACTGCCACACTCTCGCCATCACCGCCTGCTGCCACCTCCTCTGCTGATGCCACCGTCCCGAATTTACTGCCTGGTGGTTCACAGGGTACGTTGAGGGAAACGTGGAGCAAGGTGTCAAGTGTCTGTCTGTCATTTTGGAGTACATCTCAAATTTGAAACCGAAGGTGCAACTGTTCCCTACACTGATCGATCCTTTAAGCATATTGTTGGCCTTCTGGTCCCTGCTCTGCTCTGATTTGCGGCCCTGTTCTGGTCCCCCTTTCTCGCTTCTGTCCAAACCACAAGTCATTCCTCACTAAGACTTCGTGTGCTTGAAAAATGTGATTCCTGCTTGCTGTCAGAAGAACAGAGATTGCCTTAAAAACAAAGAGTGACTGAAACAACCCAAAAAAAAAGCCCTTACTGGCACTCTGACTTTGCCATTCCACCGCTGGTGGTATGTCTGCACATATCAACGTGGAAGAATGAATACCCGCCCACACGAGGTACCACATGCACACATTCACAAAAAGTGAGAAATGTAGAAAGCACCATTTCGTGAGAAGTGTTAGTAGTACAATATGAAGGATGTAGTGAAGGAGGCAACAGCAAATCTCAATCTTTCATGCGAAGCCACAATGAAGTAGCAACCATCATAGGCTTTAGGCTGCCATGCGCCTGCTCACCAGTATCAATCTTCCATGAGAGGATGTCGTGCCTCTGAGTGTTGTTGATAGAGGTTGCCACAAATCCGAAAAGAAATGAGGGATTGCCCATGGTGGGCTTGAGCACGCTGCACAGCGACACTCTCGCTGTGACCACAGGCTTCAGCGGCTGCTGACTGGAGGCTGAGAGGAAGACTCGGAGGGTGCCGCCGCTGGTGGGGTCGTAGTGGATCCATGAGTGCTTGGTGTGGGCGTCGTTGAGGATGAGAGGGGCCGTGGCAGAGGCGAGGGACACAGGTGAGCCGCCCACATTGACGCCCACGTGGTTGTCGTTGGGGTCGCTGTGCTTCACACTCAGCACCGAGTCAAACTCCACCGCCACACTCCGCCTCCCCACCCCTCCCAGCCCCACACTCCCTGCTGCAGCCCCCTGCGGTGCCGCTACAGTCACCACAAACGCCAGGCCCTCGCCTGCTGTGGATGAACCAGCAGCTGCAGCAGCGGGGGTCATTCGGAATGCGAACGATACCTTAAATGATATGGGCTGGTCACAGGGGGTCTTTTGGCTGGTAGGGAGAAAGAGAGTGATGGGCTTCTGTACGAAGGCTGCTCCCCATGATGCAGTGGGCGATGCGGGGTTGAGGAAGATGGAGCCATTGGGGGCAGATGAGGCCGACTGGAACAGATTCACTGGGTCCGAGTAGGAGGAGAGGCGAGAGGGGATGTAGGGCCCTGACGAGGACAGTTGATAGGCAGGTAAAGGAGGATTCAGTGAAACTGGCTCAAATGGCAGGTGAACTCTGAAGAAACGAGGGGCAGGTGAAACAAGTGGACAAGGGGTTGGTGCGTAGTGTGGCATGACGGGAAGCTTGTGTGGATGGGTGCATAAATTCATGGATGGGTGCATGAATTCATGGATGGGTGCATAAATTCATGGATGGGTGCATAAATTCATGGATGGGTGCATGAATTCATGGATGGGTGCATGAATTCATGGATGGGTGCATGAATTCATGGATGGGTGCATGAATTCATGGATGGGTGCATCAGTTCATGGATGGGTGCATCAATTCATGGATGGGTGCATGGATGGAGTTCAGGTCAATGATGACCATTAGAGAGATCAGAGCATGAACACAGAACGCAAGTCCAGACAGAGCACCATTTGGAGCAATGATTGAATCACGGAGGGTACAAGGGAATCACTACACGGACTAGTTGTCATACCTTGTGCAACACGTCTCGGCAGGTTTCTCCTCGATAAACCCGGCATCACAAGCACAGGCGAGATCGGTACTTGGAGCAATGTGAAAGCACGCGCCATGGCCGCTGCAAGGCGGATTGAAGGGCTCGTTTCCACAGAACCACTTGCACCAGCCGGAGCTCTTCTGGGTTTGATTGTTCCCGCAGATGTTCAGGTCGACTGCAAAGCAGTTGAAATCCAGAAGTAGCTTGTATGTGGGGCATGCAGAAGGGGCCTCTGCTGCACCTGTGAGATAGTTGAAGCTTGCGGACAGATACTTGAGTGAGCGCATGAGCTTCAGCGAGGGCAGATTTCCCACGAGCTGGTTGTATCCCAGGAAGCTGTGACAGGTAGGGGATGCAGAGGTGTTCGAGGTGTTTGTTTGTCTTGCATGTGTTTGCATTTACCTTGTAATACCCTATAATGAATGGGAGGGAGTGGCTCTCTTGAGTGGCATCAATTGATGTGGCGTGATGATGGAAAGCAGGTAATCTGGGGGGGCAGAATGAGAGCAAGCAGGCAATGTGAGGGGTCACAATGAGAGCATTCAGTCTCATGTGACTGTCAGTCAGAGAGTGTCAGGCAGGATTAAAGAGCACACCCAAGAGAAGCGAAGCACATGGGCGCACACGTTTAAAACAGGATTCAGTGATTTTAGCTAGGCGCACATGTATGGGAAACTGTGGTAGCAGCACCCATGGGTGCACGAGATACATGAGTTGTATGAGAACTGTGGCCAAACTTACAGGTACTGCAGGCTGGTGAGTGTGCTGAATATTGCAGGTATCGTTCCCGCAAGAAGGTTTTCAGACAACGACCTGAAGATGGGTTGTAATCACAAAAAAAAAAAAAAAAAAAAAAAATAATAATAATAGAGAGATTACCCATGGAATTTCCCAACGGATATCCAGGCTGGTATTCAACAGGCCAATGGAATACCTCAGTTTGGGCACCAAAGCAAGGATCACATTTGGCTCAAAAGCAATTTACTGTCACATGACTTTCACGCTTCCTCCCCAAGTTGGAGCCATTTCATGCAAAGAACACTATCTCAAATCGTCATCCTGATCTATATGGAGCATATGATCTTTACCTCCAAAGATACGGATTTTCTGGAGTCTGATTGGAACTTGGCAAGAAACTGGCCATGAAGAATCCTTGGAACCTTGCCATGAATGATCTTAAGATATTGACCAGCTACATGGGTTACCCATGATGGATATGGTGGAAGTCAGATGTAGCACGACAGCTTGCAGCATTGCCCTTTCACATGGAGTCTGGAATCAGTTTTGCTCTGGAGCCTAACCCAAACATAGCCCACTCCTGGCACAGCACCAACTTACTGTTCCAGGTTGCCTTTTGTGTGTTATACAATCTTTACTGCGCATCATTTTGAACAGTGACGGTTTCCAGTTGAGACATGGAACTCAAACTTGGGAAATGTCTCCGACCTTTATTCGTATGGCAAAAAAGAAACAGGCACACAAAAACAGGGAAGGAGGGCGCACATGGTGGTGAGTCGGTTCAGGTTGACCAAGGAGGCAGGAATGGTGCCACTCAGCCAGTTGTAGTGCAGGAACCTGCCTCGGGATATCATGCAATGGCATAGTGTGGTGTTGAAGTTGTTCTGCCGTTACAGCATACGGAGTACAAATCTGATCAGAATTGCATTGCTCGGATATGTGGCATGCGTGGAAGGACAGCCCCATGAGTCCTTGCATTGTTGTGCCTGCCCTTAAACAGGCTTTTAATGTCCTGAAAACGCTTGGCCTGCCATGAGGTATAGACATTGCTGCTACTATCTCAAATCTCTGAGAAAAGGGTAGTCATTCTAGGCTTCGGAAAGGTTTGGCTGCTTATCCGGTGTACATGTTTTGAGGAAATTGAACAAGTTTGCAGTCTTGAAAGAGAATTGCACGCCTGACTCGCAACGCAGGTGTGTTCTTACAGTGCTTGCAGGCCTGTGAGTTCACCAATGGACTCTGGAATTGATCCTGTGAACGAGTTGTGATCGAGGACCCTGATGGGCAAATGTGGGAAGGGGGGTAGAGAAGGAACCCCGAATGTGGGCAGAAGAATGAGGGGAGCACAGTGAACGCAGCACAAGGAAAGAAGTTCATTGAAAGGAGAGCTTGAAAAAAAGGGATAGATAGGAGTTTACCAAATTTGGGAAGCGAAAATAGATAGTAGTGAAGCAGTGTAGTTGAAGGATAGCAAAGAAATGGTTTCTTTGAAAGGATTGCATTGCTTTGAAGGACGAGAAAGGTGGGAGATTGAGATTTTAAGGGTGAGGAGAACATGACATGGGAACGAAAAGTGGAAGTGAAGGGGGCGGAAGGGGGGCGGAGAAGTGGGGAAGGAAGGGGAGAAGGGTGGGGTGCGATGACATAGTGTCGCACTATAAAAACATTTTGTTCTCATATCAGCACATCTCCATAGCGAATTGCACAATACACTCCGTACCACCAGCATCAGAAGCACAACGACACTTTCCCATAGAAATGCTTCCATCACGCTCAATCACTCTCCTATCTTGCTGCCTCCAAGCTGACACCACAGTGTGCATCCCTACCCAGCTGACTCACACGTATGTCAACTTGTGCAGGCTGCCAAGGGTGTCCGGGATGGAGCCGTTGATCTGATTGGAATCAAGTCTCCTGAGGCGAGGAGGAGGAGGGTAGGAGGGGGGGGGGGGTGGGGGGGGGGGGGGGGGGGGGGGGGGGGAGGGAAGGTTGGTTTGGTTGCGGAGGTGGGCGAGAGAAAGAGAAGGGGGGAAACGTGGGAGAGGGATGGGGCAGTGAAGAGGAAAGAGAAAAATCAACCGCACGGAACCACATGAAATAGGCTATACCCGAATTACTCTATAACCTTTTCTCATCACGTTTGGCTTGTGCATTCAACTTCTTAGCGTGGTATCAGAGCGGCCAGGGGTTCACTACCCTCTATTAGCTCGTGGTCAATCCCATTTTGGTCTCCAATGGCAACTAGATTGACCTTTTGATCCTGGGTTCAGGGTTTAGGGTTTAGGGTTTAGGGCAGGTAAAGTCCGGGTTCTCCTGACCCACCAACACCAGGGTGGCCATCTGAAAGTACAGAGTACCACTCACTCACATGTGCTGGAGTTTCTGCAGATTGATAAGAGATTCTGGAATCGGGCCCGATATAAAATTGTCGTTGAGAACCCTGCAAAGAGCAAAAAGAGCCAAGAGTGGTAAGGAAGGCTTAGTATTCGTCATCTGCACGGTCCATAAGATCTTCTCCAACACTCTTTCCTACTCGTTTTCACGGCACACGTATACTCACAGGCACGCGCCTATAAGCCCACCCGCAGGCATGCTCTCGATTTGTTGATTGTATAGTGTACCAACAGAGATGGTGGAGCAACGGGGGCGGGAGCTCACAGGTTGACGAGCGCAGAGAGGTTTCCCAAAGCGGAGGGGAGGGTGCCGCTTAGAAAGTTGTCAGAAATGATTCTGTCAGATTACATCGGAGACATCAGCACAAAGGAGGAAGACAGGCGATTGAGGTGGCGGGACGGGAAAAAGCGCACAGAAGCTCAATGGACGCCAATAGGGTGGTTGAGCAAGGGAAGGAAAAAAAGGGTCTCGAAAAAAGCAAAGTGACAAGAGTGAAAAACGTGTGGAAACGGCGCAGAATGAGGTGGTGGAACTGACAGCGTTTCCAAAATTCTGGCGGTTCCCACAGTGTATGGAATACTGCCCGAGACTTGATTCCCTGAAAGAACACTGCACACGAGCACCACACATGGATGGAAAATCAGCTTGTATGCGTACGTGGACAATGTACTGCAGTGCTGGCAGAGGGTGGATGAGATGATGTAAAACGGACAGTTCAAGCATAAGCGACATGTCCGGGAACACATTAGGGGGAAGAGAAGAGCACCGGTAACTCGACCTTCACATTGCATGGACAGCTTCAAACAGTCTGCTTCACATGGTGCATCAACAACAGCAAGACAGGCAGGGAGTTCTGGTGATTGCAATGCGATGAGCAGGGCGCATGGAGGCTCACAGGTGCTTGAGGTTGGGCAGAGAGAAGAGAGCAGCGGGAAGGGAGCCTTTTAGATTACTGGACTTGATGCTCCTGGGGAGAAGGCAGAGACGGACACATGAGGAGGAGATCCATACACGCGCAGAGCGAGGAGGACGAATACTGGGCAGTAGAATGGGGAGAAAAACTCCATGGTAATGTAAGTGAAGCAGAGGCGATTCATAACGAGGGCGTCTGCACCGTTGATCCATGAACATCAGCAATAGTGCAGTCGTACTAGTACCATACCATCATGGTGTTGTCGTACCCATGCCTGGGGTGCCACAACACCCCAGCCACTCACAGGATCGACAGGTACTGCAAGCCGGTGATTTCCTCGGGAATGGAGGCCGCTATTGTGCTGCCGTATGTGTCACTGCCACGAGCAGTGGAAGCACAAGAGAGGCTTCTTGGTAGTGCAGGTGAGAATGGTTCTGCTGCTACAAGGGTCGACAAACTCAAACAAACTCTTCAAGCGCAGGAGGAGGTTACCGTGGGGAGGTGCAGCCTAAGGCAGAGGCGCAGGCAGCATGTGACAACGTGGCTAGTGACTGGCTTTGTGGCAA